ATGGCACGGCCGGTTAAGAGGCAAGCAGCAGGAGTAGTAGCGGATGAGATTAAACAGGAACACCTTTTGGCTTTCATTGTGAAGGAGAAATATAAAGATAATAAATGCAAAGAAGAACTCGAGAAATATTGTGAAGAGTTGAAGAAAGCAGATGAGAAACTAGAGAATGTGGATAAAAAAGTTAAAGGACTTTGTGATGAGAAAGATAAAAAAAAAAAGTGCGAAGAACTGAAAGACGATGTTGAACAAGAATTAGAAAATTTTGATGCGGAACTTCCAGATAAATTAGGAAAATTAAAAGATGAAGAATGTGAAAAATATGAAGAAAAATGTATACTTTTAGAAGAGGCGGATGATGGTGATGTTAAGAAGAACTGTGTCAAGTTGAGGGAAGGATGTTACAAATTGAAGCGTGAAAAGGTGGCAGAGGAGCTTCTTTTCAGGGCGCTCGGAAAGGATGTTAAAAATGGTGAATGTGAAAAAAAGATGAAAGATGTTTGCCCAATGTTAAGCCGAGAAAGCGACGAATTGATGGCTTTCTGCCTTGATCCGAGTGGAACGTGTGGAGAGCTGAGTAAAAAATTGGGTACTGTTTGCCAGCCTTTACAAAAAGAATTGAATAAGAACGAATTAGAGGAAAAGTGTCATGAAAGACTTGAGAAATGTCATTTTTATGGAGAAGCGTGTGGTAATACAAAATGTAAGGATGATAAGGAGGAATGCAAGAAAAATAATATTACATATAAAGCGCCAGGATCCGATTTTACTCCGGTGAAACCGAGGGCGTCGTTGTTGACAATGATTGGGTTGGAAGATGTTTATAAAAGAGCGGAAAAAGATGGAATTCTTATTGGAAGACAAGGAGTGGATCTACCAAAGACGTTTGGTGATAATTTACTCCAAGATCTTTTGCTAGTGTTGAGCCAAGATGAGAATGATAAGAAACCAGAAAAGAAATGCGAAAAAGCGTTAGGAAAATGTGATGCTTCTAAGCATTTGGATGATGATTTGAAAAAGTTATGCGAAGATGGTGATAAACAAAAGAAATGCCAAGAATTACTAAATGTAGAAGAAAGATGTACAAATCTCAAATTAAATCTTCATCTGAAAGATTTGTCTACAAAATTTGAAAAAGATAAAGATTCAGAACCTTTATTCTGGAGACAACTGCCAACCTTATTTACAAAGGGAGAGTGTGCAGAACTTGTCTCGGAATGTTTTTATTTAGAAAAGGCGTGTAAAGATAATAAAATTGATCAAGCGTGTCAAAATGTACGAGCAGCGTGCTATAAAATGGGACAAAATAGGATGTTGAATAGGTTGTTTCGAGAGGGGTTGAAGGAGAATCCTGATAATATAAAATATTATGATGAGAATCCTCAAAAATGTCAAAAATTTGTGTTAGAAAGCTGTACAAAACTTAAAAAATATCTTCCACAATGTCTTTACCCTAAAGAACTATGTTATGCGGTTTCGGATGATATTTTTCTTCAATCCAAAGAGTTGGGTGTGCTTTTGGATGATCAAAGAGATTTTCCATTAGAAAAGGATTGTCTTGAATTGAAGGAGAAGTGTGCTCAACTTGAAACTTATTCAAATTCGAATTCTCAAAAGTGTGCAACATTGAGAAGGCGCTGTAAATACTTAAGAGTTTCTGAGGGATTTAGAAATGTATTTTTAAAAAGAGAAGATGATTCGTTAAAGAAAGAAAACTGTACGAAGGCATTGCAAGAAAAATGTGATGCTTTATCTAGGAAAAGGAGGAATCCATTTGGGTTTTCATGTGCTTTGCGAGAAGAAACATGTGAATATATGGTAGCCCGTACAAAAGATGAATGTTTTTATTTAAAAGACAACATGGTGAATGAAAAAATTCTAAAAGAAATTGAAGAAAAAGCAAAAAAAGCAAATGGAAATGAAACCTTGGTTGAAGAACTCTGCACAACATGGGGCCGACATTGTCACCAACTTGTGAAGAATTGTCCGGATGATTTGAAAAAAAATAAAAACAACCAAGGTTATAACTGTGATGAACTCGAAGAAAAATGCAGTGAAACCTTTAAAAAGTTGAAATCGAAGGAGGAGCTAACTCATCTGTTGAAAGGCAGTCTAAGCAATAATAAATGTAAAGAAGCATTAGGAAAGCGTTGCACTGAGTTGCAAAATAATGAAACATTCAAAATTCTGCTTGATAAGTGTGATGATAATACCAAGGAAAAGGTTTGCAAAGAATTAGTTGAAAAACTAAAAAAGAGATGTCCTACTTTAAAAACCGATCTGGAGAAAGCGAAAGAGGAATTAGAAAAGAACAAGAATGACTACGATGCGCTTAAAAAGGCGGCAGAAGAATCTACAAAGGCAGCTAGCTTATTGCTATCAAGACCTAGACAAATTGTAATGCCAAATGCGCAGAATGGCAGTGCTTCTGAAGAAGTATCACAACCACCGTCAGCACCAGAAAAAGAGTCATCACCACCACAAGTACCAGCAGGGTCATCATCATCAGACTCATCATCACAATCACAAGGGTCACCATCATCATCAACTGGTGGAACGCCAAACGCATCAGATGGAACGCCAAATAAATCAGCTGGAACGACGGGCCCTGCAAAACTTGGACTCGTTAAAAGAGCGTATGTAGAAGGAGGAGTATCAGAAGTAGAGGTAAAAGCATTTGATGAAACGACAATAGCAATGGAGTTGTATTTGGAATTGAAAGAGGAATGTAAAGCTTTAGAACTAGATTGCGGTTTTAAAGAGGATTGTCCGGAATCTAAATCAGCTTGTGAAGAAATAGAAAAGTTATGTAAACTGGAAGCATTAAAAGTTGCGCCTCATCATACAGAGACAATAACAAATAAGGTGACGGAAACACAGACGGAAACACAGACCGTTGAGAAGGTCGATGACAAGACCAATGTGAAGACCGTTGAGAAGACTGTTACGGTAACCAAACCAGGAAGTGGAGAAAAAGTAACAGAAGAGTGTACAATGATACAGACGACAGATACATGGGTGACGAGTACGTCATTGCATACGAGTACGACAACGAGTACGTCAACGGTGACGTCGACAGTGACGTTGACGTCGATGAGAAAGTGCAAACCTACCAAATGTACCACCGATTCAACCAAAGAGACACAGAAAGGAGAAGAAGAAGAAGTAAAACCAAATGATGGGGTGAAAATAAGAGTTCCTGATATGATTAAAATAATGTTGTTGGGAGTTATTGTTATGGGGATGATGTAAATGAATGAAAAAAATGTTAATAGATTGAAAATGTGCATATATCCATTGTTTATATATAATAGAAATCTAAATGAATGAAATGAAGCTTTAATTATTTTAACACAGAATCTTAGTTTGAAACTATGCTTTATTTGGTAAAGTTTA